TTGGCATTTGCACAGATGTTTAACCTCCACACTTCTGACAAAGTGCACAAACTGAGTCTCAGTCTTCCTGAAACCTTTCAGTGGGACACATTAGGGACTGTTCCAAGCTGTGGATGACAAAGACCCAAACGGGCCAAGCGAATGGTGGTGAAGTGACCCAAACTGAGTATATTTTGATTGGTTTGAAGTTGCATTAGTTTTCAGAGCAAAACATAGATCATGGAGTCATACTAGGCAAAAGCAGGAAAGACAGCGTGTGCCAAGTGTTTGTATGAAAGACAAAGTCTTAAAAGAGACAAAGTCATGCATGCTGTTGCACAGGGCTTTGTCAGCGCTGAGGCATCAGCCACTAGACGGCAATCAGGCTTGGCAGGGACATCTGTCACCGAAGACACAAAGAGAGAAGGGCATTAGCGGAGTCAACGAACGAGGTGTGTGTGAGTCACGTCACACAGAAATGTTGTGTGATACAAAGTCAAAGGAAATTTAGATTTTAGTGTTCCAGCTTTATTTTTGTCCTTTAAATTCTGTTGTTTTATCAGTCATGCATGAGAACGTCCCCCATTCTTCCCCGTCAGACCATCACCTTCTGAATGTGTGTCATCAATAGGGTAGAAAAGTGTGTTTCTAAAATAAAAGGTATGTGGCGAATTATAAAGAAGTGAGACTCGGTGAAGTGATTTATCAAAGGGTACAGGAGGCCGCGGACAAAGCTCCCGTGATTCATTTTGCAGCTCTTTGTGAAGTATTGTTGTTTGGGTGCTCTCACCTTCTTCTCCTCAGCACTTAGGCCATGACAAATGCAAGTGCCATCTGTGACTAGGAACCAAAGCAGCGAAAGGCCAGTCACATGATACCAGTGGAGGGAGGAAGTCAGCCACGCTAGTTGTGATGAATAGATACCGTATCTCCTTTGAGATCATTTTGTGTAAGTTGCTTTCTGTGAGGAGACTGGCTGTTCATTTCTTGAGGCTTTTGCACGAGTCAGCACATTTCTTCAGAGAGCATTTGGCCCGTTGGATTGTTTCCATCTCGGATCACCCTTGCTTCCAGACATATTTTAAATGGAGAGGTTTTGTGAGGCTATAACATTGAGACTGTCACAATTTCCACTATACGTCTGAAATTGTTTTGATCCTGCCTGTTTCTCTAACTCTCCCGTCATTTCAGGTCCTGCCACTCACACCTTGTTATCACTCATTCCCCTCACCTGGTCTTCCCCTCCCCTTCTCACCTGCAGCCCATTCCCTCATTAGTCCCTCACTATTTATATCCCTTCACTTGCACTTGATCCCCGTTTCCACATTTGATCTGCCTGTTCCGACCCGGCCTGCCGCTTTTTAGAATTGTTTGCCTCCAGCGCGCAAGTACTGGTAATCATCATACACATTAATAAGAAACCATACACACAACTTTAAAAGATTTAAGCAAACTCATGATAAATCTAAGGTTTAATGTGTTAAACTTGTATGTAATTGGGACAAGAAAGTACCAAATGAAATGGTTTGGGGATGGCTGAATTCAACCTATGAACATAAGACACTGGGCCTTCACAATGACCATTAATATGTAATACAAGTAAATAAATACATAAATACTAGAATGTATCTAAATGAAATCGACATCTGCCCTGTGACGTATAATATTTAGAGCTTTACTCCAGCATGGGAAAGAGGATCTGACAGCTGATGCCTCTATTGTGGCCTCTGGGCAGCTATAACACAGGGGTGATTACACATGTCCTGACCAATCGGATGCCAACGCAGTTCATCATATGTGACAGCCCGTTCACTCAGCTCACCTGCTCTCACTGAGACGAATCCATCAGCGTGCATTGTGGTCAAATTGATCGCTGCGATCAATACCAAACCGGTGAAGCCATTGGCACGGCTGCTGCTGCTGCTGCAGAGGAGGAGGAGGCATCAGGAGTGCTTTGCCTTGTCTGTGATCTATCTATCCTTAGGCAGGATCCAGGCATGGGATCAATATGCTACAGGCAGCTCATATTTCACTGGTGGCCCAGCAGGGCTGAGAGGGCACATCGGGAGAAAGGGGAAGGGGAAGATGGGGATGATGACAAGGCTTCGCAAGGCTCTCGGGAGGTCAATCCAGAGAGCAGATAGCGTGGAGCAGAAACAGGTGATATGGATGCAACCGAAGGTGAGAAGAGGAGAGAAGACGTTCGGTCGTGACGTAGGAGTCAATAGTGCAGCGGAGGCTTATACGCTACATGGACGGCAGCGCAGCCTGACAGCTTGTCGATTCAGTGAATTTATAATGAATGTTCTTTTATTCTCCTCTTTCTCTCTAACCTTTCTCTTCTCCTTTACTCCCTTTATCGCACCCCCTCCCTCCTCCCTCTCCTCCTGTCACCTCCCTCCCCCTCTCTGCGTTTGGAGCATCACTCCCACCTTCCCTTCCCCTCCCTGTCACAGTCTCATGTAGCCTATCATCCTGAGAGTAAAAACAAAGAGTTGTATGAAAGGCGCTTAGTCGCATTTCCTCCCACCCCTGCTGTTGCGGTGTCCTAATGATGCAAATGTTAGGCCGGCTAATGAGCGGAAGTTATGTTTCGGCTGAAGTTTACCGCGCTGCTCGACCACCCTGTCTCATGAATAACATCCCTGTGTCAGACTCAAGATGTGTGCTCCTCTCAGCTCACAATTAATGACCATTACAGATGGTGCTTTCTCAAGTTACTCACGAGGAAGAAAAAAAAAGTAAAGACAACTGTTGGTCCATAGCGGTGTCCAAAGGAGCAACTGGGCCTTTTAAAACGAAGATAATGAAAATTCATTTAAAGAATTTAAATGTATGCAATCTGCTCTGTCTGACGTAACACACACATCGTGTACATACACACACACACACACACACACACACACACACAAGCAGAAAAGGTGTCTTAAAAGCTTCAGGAGGAACTCTGAACACCCTCTCACCTGCGCAAGTCACATGACCTTTTGCCTCTCGAGTTCATTCTGGCTGTCATCTAACACTCCATGCTTCTGAAGGATTGTGAAGCCGATAGATGCTGGCTTCTGTGTTATTACACTAACCCTTATGGCTGCTTACATTTCTCTCCCTCCCCACATCGCCGCTTAATCCGCCTCGCTTTTAACCTTCAGTTTTTCAAAGACAGCCTGCGGGCTAGAATTGCCCTTTGCTGACTTGTTGCTGACAGTGAGCCTCTCGTCTCCTCCCTTTTATCTCTGATATCATACTCTGAGTGGGTCAAGATCAATGGTTTGCTCCCTGCAAATCTGCCCAGACTCCGGGTGCTTCTCATTGACCTCAAACAGGGCTAACTGAACGACTGCGACTCTCACCCAGCCAGCTTTTGCATTAACTTCTATGGATAACTGCACCCACGGCTCGCAGGGCCTTTCATCAAAAAGTCACAGACCACGTTGGTGCAGACCATTTATGTTCTTCTTGGCCACAAACTACAAGCTTCACTCCTGACACGTAACTGGTTGAAGTAGTGCAGGAACACATTGGGCAAAGCTGTCGAGCATCTTGTAAAAGATTTTCATCACTGCCGAAGAAATGGATAAATGGTTCAGAAGCAAAGGGTTTACCAACCTACTTTCTTATAAGCCCACAAAAGTCTTTCAGAAACATTGAAAAGCTGGGCCAGTCTTGTTCAGAAACTTCTGTGATTTGTACATTTTTAATGCCACCTTAAGGTTTGCGAACAGTCCATCGAGACTTACAGGAATAGAGCATTCGGAGCACAATTGAAAAAAAACAAATCCCAGTAACCCAAGGACGTGCGGTGACAGGGTGATGAATGGCTTTACATGATGGAACAGACAGGACTCTGGACGCTGCAAACTTCTCGACAACAACCGAAAATCAATTTCAGGTATGGCATAGAATTAATGCGCTGTATTGACTGAACTGAGGGACACAGTCTTCCTTAGGGATGGACTGTAATGTAAAAGCACCAGCACAAAGACAGCATCACGTTAAATAACCATATGTTCTGTGGCGTAACACATGACTTAATGACATGCCTTAAACTGAAAACAAGCAACAAAGAAATCCTTACACGCAGTGGAATATACTCTGAAGTCTATCAAGTGTCGCATCAAGACAATAAAAGCGTGAGAAGCAGTGTGCAAGTGATGCTACTGCCTTCCTCGGGCCTAACACAGATCAAGAGAACAGAGGCAGCAGCCCGGTCCAGATCCAGCTGGGGCTCTCATCCAACGGGATCCCTGAGAGACTCGCTTCAACAAGATGGATGACGGGCACCGAGCTTCAAACTGGGCGCACTCAGCCCAGACATCATCGGGTCCGGGCTGAATAAAGAGGTGGTGGCCCCTCGCTTGCTCTGCCCTAATAGGAGGCGCTGCCTGGCTGACAGCAGCCCATAAATAACCCAGTCGGCGTGTCACTGGAAAAGAACACACTCACCTGAGCACGCTCACTGGATCACGAGGGAGAGGTGAGACGCAAGACTATAAGGGGCTCACAGTTATGGGACAGCAACACAAATGTGTGTTAACGTAGGTCACATAAGTACAAGTTTTGGAGTTTTACACTTCTTTTTTTTTCATTATTACACGAATCAGTAATATCATATTTGTGTTCAAATGAAAATACAAATTTAAGCCTAAATATTATAAGACTAAATATTTCTCTATGTTGATCTCTGAGCATGCTGCGACCACAGCTTAATGTCCTTCTTCAGGCTTACTTCATCAACCGCTTTGGGCAATTCATTTTTATACATTTATTTGTTTTAAAGTCCATTTTCATCCGATCCTACATTAATTAACATACATACTGTGGTTACATATGTCTTAATTAAACTGACAATCACTATATGACCAGAGCATAACGAGCATACTATATATATATATATATATATATATATATATATAGCACAGAATTTAACCCGATTTAATGAAGCCACAGAAATCTCCTCTCTTGGCAGCTTTCGAGGTCATGTGATTCGTATGCGTCATGACGTAATGCGGAAGTAACCCAGCCAAGATGGCAGCGTCCTTGACAGGCATGTCGTGATTGTTGTCATCTGTTTAACATGGTCAACAGTTGCACATGTACGGGCTGTACAACTGGCAAGAGACGGTTTTGAGAGCGGAGCATGGAGAGACGAGAGTTCGTCGCGTCGCTGGTGGTAAGTTTGCTATTTTGTACGAATGCTACGTGTTAATATTTATATCAGCCAACCTTTAACGTTACTGTCATTACACATGTTGTCGGTTGCTGGCAGCTGAAGACCGATTTACCACGAGAGCTTACGGTGTGGACATGTCATGTTCGTGTTCTGCTTATAAGACACTAAAGAGTTCATCTTTTTTGCAATGTATAGTAACAGACAAGCCAGAAACATGGCGTACCCAAAGGGACGTGTGTGACCTACTGCAGCCACACAGCTTTTCATGTCATTACGGGAGGTAGTTAGTACTGAGTCATTACAAGCACGATCACAAATAAGATAAACAAAGTGCAGGTTGAACCAGCTCTATGCAAGTTATTTTTTTGTATAGTTATGCGTTATTTCGTCATGCCTGAGCTTAACTTTATGTATAAAAAGCACATAATGGAGTTTGTTCATCATAAACGTGCCCTTTTTCAATTGACACATCGATACTTCATTTGTAAGTTCTTCGATGAGGCTAGAGGCTTGTGAAGACAGACATGAGTGTTGGAAAATAAATGTTTGTGTGTGTGTGATGTGCCCTCTTTTGTTGCATTTATTGCTAATTTATTAAGCTGTTTTAAAATGAAATAAATTAGTAATTCATAGTAAGAACAAATATCCAAGTACTTTTGTTTAGTGTTACTTTAAACTCTGTGTGAAGTATCCACCGCACTCGGAGACATTGGTGGGTTATCCCTATTATATCGACTAATGAGGTCGGTCACACTCAATGACGATAGGCCACTTTATTTATGTTCTCTTTTGAATCATCAGTGTCTGTCCACTGATGGCCGAAAACACGTTGTTTTTGAGGGAAAAAGCTCGGATGAACCTGCTGTACACTACCTGCCCAGCACCAAACAGCAGGCACACCAACTCGGCAAATAGCTGGCGATCACAGTGTAGCCTTTAGAGGCTAGAGAGGCAGATGTGTCCCTCAGAAGTTGTAGAACAAAACACATTCATATGTCAGGACAGGAGACCAAAAACATGTCTCCAAATTATCCCTCATCTTACGCCGTGTCTGCAAAATGCGTGTATCCAGCCTGTTGAAAAATGGCCCCCAAAAAAACCCATTCATTAATTATGTAGAAGATCTGAATATGTGTTCCACCACCGGTGTTACAGCGTGCGTAACGCTGCGTTATGTCTCACAGAGTAATTGTCTCTCCAGGCAGGCGGCTGTGCGGGGATGTGTGTGGATCTGACCCTCTACCCCCTGGACACCGTGAAGACAAGAATGCAGAGTCAGCAGGGCTTCCACAAGGCAGGGGGCTTCAGGGGCATCTACGCCGGAGTCCCATCTGCTGCCGTCGGCTCCTTCCCCAACGGTATGACGCTCGTAGTGAAAGCTGGATATATATGACGCGAAGGTCCACTGCTCATTGTTGTTTTGTAATTGATGTTCTTACTAAACATGGATTCATTTTGCCAGTTCACAGTCAAAGTAGTTTAGTTAATTTGCTTTGTATAGTGTTAGGCAGGCATTCAGCTTGTAGTCGCATGAAACAATTACAAGCGGTGGCAAAGTCCCTGTTCGTTATTTAGTTCCTGATGAGATCATCCTCACTGGCTCTTTTGGCCGTTGAGGAAATTTACTTATGGTAATATACGATGACAAGAATAACGAGGAGCTGGATTTTTAAGATTGAGTTTTTTGAGGATATCATTTATTAGAGTCAGATTAATACGGTGGAACCTTAAAATGATTGATGCGCCGAGGCTCGTCTTTAAATGGTTTTAGTGTAGCTGCCTAACCGAGATTGCTTCGTGACTAACATGCTCAAAAGCAACATGTTGATGAGCCCTTTGGTGATGGAGCAGATCACCTGCAGGTCTGAAGGAAGCTGCAACACATCCAGCCCTCGAGTCTCAGTTTCTGAACAGCATTGCATCCATAAACCAACTGTTTCCATCTATACTATTGCAAATGCACCAAGTCAATCTTATCAAGTACATTTCTACGTAGACCCTTTGAATGGAAGAAGTTGTAAATACACAAATATTTGAACAAATCACTTTGGATTGATGCTACTCTAAGGCTGAGAATAGAAGCTCTGGTATTTGATAATCAATAGACCATCAATCAACATCTTTTGACTATTAAATGAGTCGGCGTCACTAAGCCCAAGCTCTTATGCTCTTATGATCATATGCATATCAGAGACAGAAGGATAAACATGAGATGTTCAACTCATATGTTGTTGGTTTGAAAATAATACAATCTGTTTGCTGCAGTTTCAAAAATGAATTCAACACTTTTGCAGGATGAATGTATGAGACGAATGATTAAGAAAGAACTGAACTTTATCCGCAGGACAGACGCATAACTTTCTTCGCTTTTACCCCAATTGACACACACACACACACACACACACACACACACACACACACGCGCGCGCGTGGACACACGCTCACGCCGCGGTTTCTCCCCTGTCAGTGGTAGTGAGGGATATTAATTGCTGTATGCTGGTTGACTAATGGGCCTTAAATGGCTGTGGTTCTGCTTGATTTCAGCCGCTGCTTTCTTTGTCACCTACGAATGCACTAAGTCCCTGCTCGGCGCCAGCGGAGCGCTGTCAGCACCGCACGTAGCACCTGTCACTCACATGCTGGCCGCCTCCCTGGGAGAAATAGTAAGTCCTTCTCCTCCCTCATTCTCCCAACTTTTGCCTCCTTTCATTCGGACTTTCAGTCTGCCGCCACACTGTGAACTCATGTATGTTTGTATTGGCCTAAATCATCCTTTGTTGTCCCAGTCCTAGAAGGCCGGCTACCTTACGCACATGCCTTACGTCCTCTTTGTTCCTTCACCACCTCCGGCATGTCCGGTAACGTTATTGCCTTTCACATTTCACA